GTTTGTTCGCGCGTTTTCATTTCAAGGTCATACGAAAGTCGCTTTATCCGATGAAATGTTTGGGGAAGGACAATTATTTTCTTTACTTGCACGATTTATGTCAGTGTTTACAGCCTCTGCAAACAATCTAATTCAAAATTTCCCAACCCCGCCCTCCCCCCTCCGGTACAAAAAAAAATGGTCTTTTCTTTCCCTTTACAGGCAGGACATTCAACAGTTTTTTACGTGCTCCTGATAAAATAATAGCTCTTTGTTTTAAATTGTTTTGATAAACAGGCGAAACGAGTGCTGGCAAAAGTAGCGTTATAAATTTGATCCTCGGAGAAGATCTTCTTCCTTTCTCAGTCCTGAGTACAACTTCTACCATTTGCGAGCTGAAATATGGAGAGAAAAAAATGATTAAAGTGCATTTCAAGGATGACGGAACACAAAAGCTTGACCCAGAAATGCATGAACTGAATGAAAGTCCTGATGAAGACTACACAGCTCAGATCAGTAGATTTGTTAGCTTGAAAACTGATCGAGACAAGACACCGTACAAGAAGATAGAGTTGTTTTGGCCACACCCTTTGCTTAAGGTAATGGAAAAGGATCAATTTAGGTCTCGGGGAAACTGCCCACCTACCCCTCTCTTAAGTCAACATTAACACTTAGTTCTCACTTACGGCAAAATGTTGGGTTAGGGGAGGGGTAGATGGGTAGTTTCCCAGAAACCTAAATTGGTGCATGGAAAAGTTATGTTTGTATTCAAATTTGTACCAGATATTATTTGACAGATGTACCAAACACAGACGGGGATATAGTTTCAAGAGAATGGTTTAACAATTTATATTTAATTTGCAATTAGCAGTCAGTTCAATGACTTGTTTCTCTCTCTGTGAATATTCTGTGAGGTCTTAAATTGAGCCAACGACGAAACCAACCTCAAGTTGCCAAGTCCAGAAAAAGCCGACATCTGCTGACAGGTTCTTTCATGCCGGTCTGGTATCTCGTAGCGAAAGGCAACGTGTTTTTAATGAACGAATGAATCTGCCTCGTCCCCAATCGCTGGCGATCACTTCTTGGGAGATACTTGAATTAATTCCTTCTCTCGGTCTGCGCCAGTTCACATCATTCCCCCTGTCGCCCTTCTCGCTTGTCTCCAGCTCTCGCGCATCGCGAGTTCGCTTGTTCCGTGCTCGCCACATTGAGGGTTGATTTCCAATGTCACGTGTACGCGCACTTAAATTTTTAACGCGTATTTAAAATAGAGGAAAGATATAAAGTGTTGAGCTAAACGTGAGGTTGACAGAGGTTCAATTTTGGCTCTTACGTTCGACATTTCATGCATTGCTTCTATTTTATTTGCGGGTGTAAAATTTACGTGCGTACGCACGTAAAAATTACGCGACCGTGGAAATCCGCCCTAAAGGAGGAAACTATCAAAGGTGGAGGAATTAAAGAACCTTTAAGGATAGTCCAACACTTAAGCATTCCCAAAAGCTGAGTTTTTCAAACCTTATTCAGACCGCATCCATCTTTGAAAACGTTAACTCTCAGTTATCATGAATTTGCCACAGTTAGTTGTGATTAATGATACTCATGTCACTGTCATTTCAGGAGAACGTTATGATAGTGGATAGTCCTGGAGTAGGAGAAAGTGAAGTGATGGATGAATTTGTAGTCAACTACATGTCTAACGCGTTCTGCTTTATGTATGTCATCAATACCCATAATGCTGGAGGAGTGCAGAAAGACAGGGTGAGAATTATAGATTATGAATCAATTGTACTGAAACTAGCCTACGTAGCGTAAAGCGTTTCTGTGCGGTTTAGGAGCCTGAAAGAACGAGGAACAAGAGTCAAAGACCGCGCGAAAAATAGCGCAAGTAAACGAGCGGGGAGGGGGTGGGGAAGAAAGAAAGGAACCCTCCCCCTCCTTCATTTTTTGGTTCTTGTTTCATTTCTCGCGCGATCAAAACCGAAAATCCCCTTCCACGGTCTCTTTTTGCTCCGAAACCAAACGGAAACGCTTGCTACACGGGCTATACCGAAACCGCTAACCAAACTTTAGAAAATATTAGTACGGACATTACCCTCCTTGCTCTGTTATCTTCTTGTCGTTAGCCTGTGAACAGACTCTCTGTTTTGGGAAAATTAACGAGGAAAGGGAAGGCCTGTTCACAGGCTACTTGTCGTTAACAGCACTACTTAAGCTCCGTAAACTATTAATTTTTACAGGCCAGTAGATTTTGAGTGCTTTAAAATACTTAAATCTCTTTATTGACTTTATCTAGTGGATCTTCACATCACAGGTGTTTATCGATAGATTTAATACTTCAACTTGATAAAATGTGTGAATGACAGAAACCAAGAGAGAATGATCATTCTCTCTTGCAGAAAGAAAAAACCCAAAGCCCTTTGGCCGATAATTAGTACAATTTAATTTAATTCGCGGTCCGTGTTTCGGGAATTTGCGTAATGAACGTTCTTGAGAAGCAACTTAGTCACCAATGTTTGTACTGATTATTCTGAAGAAGAAGAGAGAGGGAGAGGGGAGACTAAGCATACCTTAAGGGTTTTAGCAGGCCATGGAAGTCAGCAATGTCTTCTTTGTTTTTAAACAGTTAGAAAAGCTACTGCAGTGTGCCCAAGCGAAACTCACGAAGAATGATCTCGTCCTATTTACCGGATGCGCTTTGTTTGTCTGTAACAAGTGGGATCTCATTCAACCTAACGATCAGAGGGAAGTAAAGGAAGCACAAGTCACAAAACTTTCAAAGAAGCTTCCAAATCTAGATCCTGGAAAACAAATGGTCTATTTGTCGTGTACAACTGCCCAGACTTGCCAGAAGTTTGGTTACATCACTCCGGACTTCAACAACTTAATCGCTGGTATCAGCCATCTTATTGTCTCTGCAATGCAAAACAAGATGGAAATGCATTTCAGGTATTTTAACCCTTTAAGCCCTAAGAGTGATCAGCATCAAATTTCTCCTTGTAATATCAATGCTTTATAAAACAGAGTGGTCATGAGAATTACGGACATGATCACACAAGATGAATTTGCCTGATATTTTATCAACTTCTAATTCTCCCCTCTACTTCTGTGGGAAATGAATAGGGGCAACAAATGAGAATTCAAGTTTTAATCTTAGAGTCTAAAGGGTTGACAAGGTCTATGAGGAGAAAAGGGGAAATCTGCTTCAACATTTTTATTCAGTCAATTTCGAAAAAGGTTAGCTTGTCCAAACAGATTAAGCGTGCGTACCGCCATAGATGTTATGGCTGTGTGTATGAAAATGGAATCCAGTAGCCTTTAAGTTGTTCACACGAGATTCTATACATTTCCGTCTGCGGGCGTGAATGAATTCCGGGCCTTTGACAGGGTGTTATGATATTCTGTTACGAAAGAAAATATATCAGAGATAAAAAATGTGAAAGTAGGAGTCATTCATAATTAGGTTGATTATGATCGTCCGGGTGAACGTAGTCCTGAATAGGACTGTTGTAGTGACTAACGTTTCGACAACCGGTGCAGTATACATCTTCAGAGTATCACGTCAGTTGATGGTAATCAAACTCTGGCAAAAGAGAATGAGATCTGATTATTGACCTAATGGGTGCTGATGAAGTCGCGATGTTATTGGTCGTCTGTCACAGGATCGAGACCTAACTGACCAATTAGGTCAATAAGCAGAGTTTAATACCATCAACTAACATGATCTCTTTGACTCTGAAGATGAATACAGCACAAGCACAGGTAGTCGATACGTCTGTCACCGTCAGCAACAGTCCTATTCCGACAGGACTACGTTCACCCGGACGATGATGCTCAACCTATTTTATGTGAAATATGAGATTCCATGTATTTATTTACTTTAGCTGGTATCGTCATCCTCTAGTATGCGTGTGTATATTTTTCATTTTAAAATCTAAAATAGGGAGGTCAGAGGTAAAAATACTGCTTCGGTATCGCAAAGGGTTTATATGTGGGGATTAAATCCTGTGAAATTGAATTTTTTCGAACAGTTCTCGAGTTGCTGTAAAGTCACGTATATTTCTGATCTTTCACGGTTCACTTCTGCTTACTTCGTGATTTTCCAACGTGTATGGATTAAAAAGAAGTTGTAGCCCAAAACTCGCTGATCACGTACCTTACGTGAACAGTACAAGCTTTTGCAAACTTGAATTTTCTCTGCGAAAAAAAAGATGCAAAAGCAAATAAAGTTTCCACAGGTATGCAGACCACAAAGGGACTAGTACATACTATTAGTAAACTCATTTAGAAATGATGATGCATAGTTTGATTCGTGTTGGGTAAGGGTGTTTTTTATGACATGCTAGTAAAAAAATACACTAATGGATGTGATTGCACCCATTTCTGGCAGACATTATTAGTGTAATAACCACTTATGTTAGAGGTGTATTCGAATATTTTGGAAGCAACTACAGCCAGAAAAGAGCTCCGAAGATCGTGAAATTTGAACTCAATTTAAATCGTTTCTGCCCCCCCCTTCACTATAATTATTACGGAATAAACCACCGCTAAGGTCGAAGCGACAACGAAGTAATGAGTTTATTTTCCTTGCCATTATTCAACAGATGGCTGGAGGAAGTCCTTTTGCGTGTCTCCCATCAAGTTAAAATATTTCTTAAGACCACAAAGCTGTCCCTCCAAGAAACAAAGGAGAAAATTTCAAAGGCAAAGAGGCGGATGCAAGAACTGCAAGAATCTCAGCAGCGTAAATTTGATGAGCTTAGTAAATATCAGTCAGAGATCCTAGAAGATATCATTGCAAAGCTGTCAGAGTACTTCAAATCCGAAGAGACGGTCAAGCAGTTTTGTGAATGGTCCCCTGATGAGGCACCTGAGGTCAAAGAAACCTGGCAGCTGACAAAGGATGAAGTTCTAAAATGCATTTCAAAGAGGACCCAGCAGTTTGTTCAGAACTGGGAAGATGAGACGCAGGAATTTGCAACTGCTCAGGCTTCACTCATTACATTTTGCTGTAAAAATTACGTTATCATGGAAGAAGCAATTCATCAAGTGGAAGAAAACGTCTTTTTGGACGCAGACGAGGATGCAACTCATTCTCGAGAAAAAGCACGGAAAGTGTTCAAGGGTAGTGCTCCAATGTGGCTTAGGCAAGGCTTAGCACCAGTGATTGTAGGATCTCCTCTCCTAACACTTGGTTTGTACAAGACTTTCAAGAAGAAGTTACGTTACAGAGGTAAGCGGGATAAGTATCAAGAAGACCCGTCTGCCTACATGTCAAAGAGATCAAAGAAATGCCTGGAGAAGATTGGGACTCAAGATCGACTATTGCCCCTCATCAACGAACAGCTGGAAGATGCCATTCACTGCCTGGTACAACTCAAGGATAAAATGCCCAAGCTATTGGAATGTAACGACAAGTTTTACCAAAAGCTACTTGACGATGACAGAAGTAAGACCGTGGTTCGCGAAACCTACGAACCTTTGGCTATGGAGGCAGAATTCTTAAGGCGCGAACTAACCGTGTTTAGTCTCAAAGAAATGAGAAAGTCGGACTTTTCCCGGGATGAGTTGAAATGGGATGAACATCGCCAGTCAATCATAGGCAGAGGGAGTTTCTCGACGGTGTACAGAGGAATACTTACTCAGAGTGGAAAACCGGAAGTGAACGTGGCCATAAAAGAATATATACATCCTCTGAGTGCCAGCAACGTGTGGCATTTTGTTGATGAGGAAAAAGCTTTAAGGTTTGTTTTAAACAATCACGAAAACGAAGATTACCATTCCGTAACCTTTAGCTAACTAATAGGTCTTCGCGGGCTTGATTTGGGTGGCGATCAGTGTAGAAAAAAAGCCCTCATCCTATGACCCTAGGGTTAATTCTTGCAGTGCTAACTCCGTTTCTGGCCACCACTAATCTTTTATTTATGGAATGGGGGTTCAAAAGGTTCTTTGTGTTCTTAATAGTCTCTGCAACCGCGTGCGTGAGAGTGATACAACGAAAACAGTGGTAGCAGCTAGAAAGTCCAGTTTAATACTCAGAATAAATTGATATCCTGGTTAAAGCCTTAGCGAGATAGGCTTAAGTCAACCCTTTCCAAGAGTTCAGACGTTTACTTCTAGCTAATTCATTCTTATCAAGTTATTTAATGTGAAATGCTTCTGACCAAGTAACAGTAAGTCAAATTATAATTACATTATTATTCCTTTTTCAATGAACATCGTGATTTGAGGAACTTAAAAAGTTCTTTCCTTAGCGCAATTGGAAACCAGATCGTTCTTTCCTTACAGTTCATTTTTTTTAATAAAAAACATACGGGGAAAATCATTAGCCAAAAAGCTTAACTACTCGGTTGAATGAAAAACCTACTCATTCCTAGCAATGAATTATAGGCGCATGCTACTAAAGACTTTACAAAGTATTGTCCATATGTCAAGATTTTTTTTTTTTTTATTATGAAATTGAACAAAATTGTTTCACTATCTTGGTTTATCTTTTTTAAAGAGAGTTGCGACATCCTGGCATCGTTAAATATTTTGGAACCTGTCTTCTGCACGAAACAAATGGCACTACAGTAACCATTGTTTTGGAGCTGTGTGACTGCTCCCTTAGAGAACTGGTGACATCCCATCCGGAGAATGCTCCTGCTAGACTTTCCAAAGAACCAATAAGGAACAAGGTTCTAAACTGGGCTCTGCAGGTCTTGGATGCCTTGTGCTACATTCACAGCAAAGGATTTGTACACAGAGATTTAAAACTGGATAATTTACTGGTAAGTTAGTTATTTCTATAATACCCACATTAAGCGATAATTAGATAATCATATGAACAGGAACAGGAAAATGCCGCCTTTTTTAATGGTCTATTTTTCATCACTGACTTTACACTTTTTTGTCGCGAAGGAAATGGTACTTGGAGTAAAGATCTCACGACACAGACATGCACACTTACGTTAACCTTTTAGCTTGGTGACTGTCTAAAACAGTGCTTTCCTTTGAAATCATGAATGGTGAATGAAATTGCCTATTATATAAGATCGGACGTTGTAATTATAATGATTAACTTTTCAAATTGTTTTTGAAGTTGACACACGACGGAGAAGTAAAGCTGGCAGACGTGGGAGTGGGAAAATACGAGGAGGAGATCACTGGTACCATTTGCGGCACGTCCCTGTATCTAGCTCCTGAAGTTTTGGATGGTCGAATCTACAACAGCAAAGCAGATATGTATAGCTTTGCTTTTATACTATGGGAGCTGTGGTACGGCGAGAGAGTGTTTGCTGATACGGTGGTCAGTAGACACCAATCCAAGCTCCTCAAAGATGTAAAAGATGGACTTCGACCTTGGCATATCGAAAAGACATCGCAGCCTTCTCCATTATGGACAACAGTCATGGAGTCCTGCTGGGAAAAAATTCCAGGCAAAAGAATGACAGCTACCGATGCTTTGGCAGCTTTAAAAGTGCTAAAAAACAAAGGAGATGTACGCTCGCGCAGTGATTCCCGCCCACCAACGCCGCCACCAAAGAAAACGGTACTATCGGGACGACGACCCAGAAGCTGCTCCCAGAAGCCACCAGTCATGCCTAAAACAAAGCCAAAATCAACCAGAGCATCTGTTTCCTATTCCTCAAAATCAGAGGATCTGAGTTTACATTTAGATTCAAATGATAAGGCTTAGACGACACATTTTAATTTCTTCCTGGTGTACTTAACGAGTGGAAGTACATTCAAAAGGTAGCTAAAAAACTGGAAAAAAAATTAAGGAAAAAGGAAACCGGCAAGGTGACGCAAATTCAATATAGATTACTTATACGTAACTTATTCACTTTCATTATTATCATTATGAAGGAAAATAAAGGGAGATGTAAAGAATCAACCATAAAAGGACACAGAAAAAATCTGAGCCCGAGACGGGACTCGAACCCTCGACCCTCCGTGTTTTACGTGTTCGTGGGTTTGAATCCCATCTGGGGCTCAGATTTTTCTGTGTCTTCTTATAATTATGGTTTATTCTTTACATCTCGCTTTATTTTCCGTTATAATAATAATATCAGTGGCATAGGTTCATTTTTGTCATCTAATCTAAATTTGTGAGGAGGTGATACTGTTGTAAACAATGACTTACGACTGTAATCGTCTGTTTGTTTTAAGAATTGTGCGACTCTAAGGAGTTAAAAATACCACTGAAGGTAATTTTAGATTAAAAACGAGGCCATATTTTTGGCGGGCTAGATTAAGTAATAATATTACTGCAATTAAGTAAAAAAACTCTTTTTAACAGTAAATTTTTCCTAAAAGAAATAGAAAACGGCTCCAAAACGGCCAACACTATTTTCTTTACAATATCAAGGCCGTTTTTGCTCATTTTCGAAATGTTTCGATTTTTTCAGTAAAGATTTGTGAAGACTTAAATCGAGCGTTAATTTCCTCTTTAATAAGAACAATGATCAAAAATTAAAATAAATCATTTAAAAAAAATATTTCTGGGTTAGCACTTAGTAATCAACCTATCACGTCCGAGTTTCCTTATTAGAGGTGGACGTTTCGACGTTTTTCACAAAACAGCGCGGCACACCAGGCATTTTTCACGCCTGCATGACGCATCAAATCTTCTGGAGAAATTTTCCTCTTGCGCAGTGCCTTAAACTCATTTGCTCAATGGTCAGCAATTATAATTTTAACACGTCAATCCAAGAGGTAGTCTCTTCCAAGTTTCATTTTGACGTGAACAACAGTAACTAACAATGCATTTGAAAGATGCAGAAATGTTATACCTATTGTTGTCAACTAAAATGTGAATTTGGAGACAACACACCTGCACGAATAATGAGAGATCTGGAAGAGAGTCTTGATGAAATAAACCTTGGCTTCTTTATACAGAATTCCCCGCTAGAACATTTTTAAGTCTTCTAAAATCTGTTTATACCGTTAGAGAATGAATTTTCGCCCAGGCACTTCCCTTATTTTTTCCAGGCGAATTGATGATTAGAAATTTATTGGCTAATGCAGTGTGTCCTAGTGAGTGTGTGTGTTTTTACGCCAGAAATGGAGTACCCTGTGAGCAAGCTCTCAGGAGCGCTGTGGTGGCGGGGCGGGAAAGGGAAGGAGAGCTTGCAACTATACGTCTCTGGAAGAAAGAGGAGACGTCGTTACGTCATGTTGCCATGGTACACATTCACGAACAAAAAGAAAATCGCTTATAATTATTCAGATCCAGGAGGCACTTTGGAGAAATTAAACAACCTAAAACCCCTATTTAGCTGCAATGAAAAACTTTACATTTCAAAAGAGGTCAAAGAAAAAATGCTCTTGCATCAGAGGGCAAATCATCCCGACCAGAAACAATAACTGCAAAAAATCAATATGCGTGTCACGACCTCTCAGTTTGAAATAAGCGGCAAAAATCATATTCGATCAGTCAAAACGTTTTTCCCCCGAGCATAATCTACCCGTCAGAGAAAAAGAAAAAAATTATTGGAACAAGCAGCATTTTGGTATGAGGTAAAAGTCGTGTGTTGCCTACCGACCCCCTTTTTACGCCAAAAACATCACTTAAAAAGTGAGTTCGCTTTGCCACAAACTTCATCGATCTTATCCAATTCTATTTAATTTGGCAAATGTTCGCGAACTTTTCTCAGGTTGAATCCGGAAAAGACAACTTTTCTGTTGTGTTCACCTACTCCATAAAGCGTGCGTATGGAATTAGGAAGTTTCATGTCGAAGTGGTGCAACGAAGGCAAAGAAATGTACAAAATAGCGCGTTGCACGAGCTGTTGTTTTGTCAATAAGAACCTATTACTTTTTTGCCGTTCTCCTTGCCGTCAACGTTGTCGTTTGTTTCGATGTCATCCAGAAATAGTGCTACCATGGTAACGTCACGCTTCTCTCTATTTCAATATCTGCAGTGAAAAAGCCGATGCGAAATGCTGATTGGTGAAGATGACAGTAGTACTGACGTCATTACCCAGGGCACGTGTTTTTCAATGTTTGTTTACATTCGCGCTCGTTTCCGCTTCGTGCTGATTGGCAGAAATCTGGTACTTAAGTTAAACTTGTACTTTAAAAATGACATGACATATAGCTGTACTGTGGCCCCCATTAACACTGATGTCACATAAGAGAAAGCGCATATGCAAAAGTTGTCAAAACCCTTATAACTGAAAATGAGGTTAAGTGAATTGGATCATACCCTCCCCTTGTTCCTTTTGGTCTTTTAATTCATATCATCTTGGCTCTTGGATTCATCGCCAATATTTTGTGCATGCGTTCATGTATGTACATGTACAGTAGGGTCATATGTAAGCTTGTGCTTAATGATATTCTTATGTCCTTTTTTACATTGTAAAGCACTTAGAACAGCGATGTACAAGCGCTATCTAAATTCCATTATTATTATTATTATTATTATTATTATTATTATTATTATTATTATTACTATTATGTACTTTTAGAGTGCATGATCGCCTTTCCAGAAGAAATGAAGAAAAAACATATTTGACTTATTTTTTTTCCCTATTCAGTTTATTTTCAGTTTATTCCTCTGACAACAAAGTGAGAAGTATCCCTACTCTGACAGCATCAACATTATCAACCCACATGGTAGCATCAGTTCTAAAAATAATATGATTTATGTCGAGGAACTTGTAATCCTGAAAAAAGAAGAAACAAGCAGGCGATCGATTAATACTCACATAGACATTTAACTATAACCGCCTTTGCATTTAAATGTCTGTCACAACTATTCCAATGCCAAATTTTTTACTTTCGCGCATGCCCGAACTTCAGCAGCAGTGCTCGTCTTGTAGACCATGTTTTGGGCAGTCTTGGCTCCATCCTTTTGGCCGGATAGTGGACCTGCTTGAAAAAGCGTTGTTCGACAAATAGCGCTGCGCAGAGATTCTAAAAATAGTCTACGTCTGATAAGACCTCCCGCATGACTCACACAAACTTTGCTTCTCACTCAAAGGCTTGTATGCGCGTTTACCGAGTGTTGAGTCAAAACATTGTTTTTTTCACGTATTTTTATCGGGATATCGTAAACTGCAACAAGCGTTGCAGCTGGGAAGAATGTGAGAGGTACTGAAGGATCCCTGAAAAGTGGTCTGAGTCAGTAAATAAATGCGAGAAATCCGGAAAGAAAGCGAAATACGCTGTGTTTTGTGGCAGTGATCAGGCAGCCCATAGTTAGGGCAGCCGGGAAATGTTTTGAAACTGAATATATAGTGACGTGCCTTCAACCGCGTCTCTTACACCACAATTTTTTTAAGGGGCTTGTTCAATTTGATGATAGATAGATACTTGATAGATACTTTATTATAAACACCATTGCAGCCATAGGCTGAATTACGGGATATTTACAAATACTGATGATAACAAAGAGAAAATAAGAAAATTATCTACATCTTATAGACATGGCTAAAAATAGAACTTTTCTTCAAACACTCGGTTTTACATAGGGGGAGAGTGAAATCACTTTTGCGTCTCAGTGCATATTTACAACTCTTCCATTGGGGGAGGAGGCTATGGAGACTGTGGGTGGGGTTACAGACGATCTCGTCTAACAGATCGATTGAAATCTTTTCTCTCCTCTCATGAAGTTTCGGTAGGCCAACTGTTTCTAGTGCTACACTATATGACAGGTCAGGATAGATGATTCTGAAAGCCCTTCTTTGGATCCGTTCCAAATCTTCACTGACGTTGTTGGTAGAGAACGATGGAATACAGGACTTGCGTATTCCAGGACGGGCCTAATACATGTCACATAGAATTGCACCAGTTCACTTGGTGCCACTCCGAATCTCTTGAGTTGACGTAAAAAATAGAGACGAGAGGAACATTTTCTAATTAGTTCAGAGGAGTGCATGTTCCACTTTAAATCGTGGCTAATGGTCACGCCTAGCAATTTGGCTCTGGTGACTAATTCAAGGGGTTTGCCATTTAGGACTAGGGACGCTACTGGGTAAGTTGGTAAATACGCAAACAACAGGGTCTGTGCATAGTGCTAAATATAAACCTTTGATTTTGGCGTCTCGGTATGTTATCCTCCACTATTCTCTCGGGGAATAGTGAGGTATAGTATTAATTTTGTCGACTGTCATTTTAAATTGCCGCCTTGTTTCCTCCGGTTACTTTTAGAAATCTACGCCATCCACACATTGTTCAGTTTTACGGTACTACCTTCAGAGAAGTTGCAAGAGGAGTGGAAGCAGTATTTGTGACAGAGCAGTGTGGAGAGTCCCTCAAGACCTATTTAGTTGAGCTTTCGGGAAACAATCCAGCAGACAATTCCATGACCGTTGCGCATGTCCTTCGATGGGCGCAGCAGATACTGGACGCCTTGATCGTTGTTCACAGCATGGGATATGTTCATGGTGATTTGCGATTCGGAAATGTCTTGGTAAGCCAGGGCTTGGTGTTTTTGTTTTTGCTTATTTGTTTCTTTGTTTGTTTGTTTATTTTACTGCTCTTACCTCCCCATCCTCGAAGACACTTGCAGGGATAGCTGATCGAGACGGCGTGTTTACGGACTAAAACATTGCAAGCAAAGTTTTCAGGAGGAATGGTTGACCAAATTTTTAATAGTTTGATTCTTATCAGAAGCAAGGTATTCTCTTGCTCTTCTTTCTATATCGTTATTCCACTAACTATGTGGGAAAACAACGGAAGAGACTGTTTGCTGTCTAATGTGACCTCGATATGACCTCTGTTAATGGCCATGTCCTCGTAGCAATAAAATCCTCTACAAACTAATTAATATACTAGAAATACGTGTATCGCAGAAACTCGCGAAGCTGGGGGGGAGGCCTATAGAGTGTCAGGGATTGAAGGGGGGAAAGAATTGGAGTAAATTGTGTAGCTTGAGAGGGTGGGTTTCAACACTGGCTCTAATATTGGAATATGAGATGTACTTAATCTCCTTTTCTATCCGATGGTAGCGTTAGCTAAGAGAAAGATTTGATGGTAATTGAGGGTCCTTAAATAACGAGTAAATTTAAACTTTCAAATCTCCATCATCGGAAAGTGTCTTTCGCCCAATGTAAGGGAATCCGGAATTCCGGAATGTGGGAAGTTTTCCTTATGCATGGATAATTTTTCTGGTGGAATTAATCCGAAATCCTGAGCTTTTGAATCCGGAATTCATTTCATGGAATCTGGAATCCCAACATCAATTGGAAACCGAAATTACGAGGAATCTGGATTCCAAAATACAGGACTGTCTTGTTTTAACTTACGTCAAGGAGTAACCTGAGATCAGGCCCAATTTGAGCGGTTCTCATACATTCTCTCTAACGGCTACCGCTGAAATTGGGCCTGATACAAACTATTACAAGTTTGTGCTCGTTACGGCCAGATTTTGGCCGTAACGCTAATTGGCTGTTAGAACAATGCCACAAGATCTGATTGGCTGTCGGAAACGACGGAAGTTGAAAGCGCCTATTCCTCGCGTGGTTGTTTTCGTGAATGATCCGTCGTCGGTGGAGAGAAGGATCGATTTTAATTTGCTGTCTTTTTTATTGTTTTATGGTCTTATGGTAGGAAAATATGCCTTAATATGTGCCATGGAAATTCAGAAAATTCATGTGGTTGTTCATATCTTCTCAGGATTTGCTTTATTTACGGAAAGTGAGTGTATCGCGGAGTTGAATTCGTCTGCAAGTTGTTGACCGCTAACAAGGTGCATTTTGATTTACCTACAAACGGGTGCAAATCAAAATACTGTCCATCTTAAAACTGGTTTCATTTGAAAGTTTAGCCGGGAATGACTTCTCTGAACAGGGTACGCTAGCGGAGGCTCACTGCGAAAGAAACCTCAATCGTCAACTGTGAAGTATTAGACGAAAATATCGCATCGCTGTTCAAGGAATTTTCAGTGTTCACAGACTGGTTGTTTGACTACACTTTTTGTTAAAAATAAACCAAGAAAACTGGTGTCCTCGCTCGATGGCTGTTTGCTTTTGTTTTTAAAGATTTATGTACTGAAAATCGGGGGAAATTGCCGAGGAAAATATCAAGACAACGGAAAAATAGAGATTTCAATATTTTAAATTCCAGAACGCCTAGCCAAAATAATAAAACTAAGTAGAACATCGTGTCGCCGTCTTTTCGAAAACTTTTTACCTTTTACGCCAACAGAAGTAACCTGCGAGATCTCCCTTAATCTCGCAAGAAGTTAATTGTGATTGTGCTGACTGTTTTATTTTTAGCTGAAAAAATTAACAGATAAAAGCTATTTTTTAAGTCAGCCAGTCTGCATTTTTCCCACGCGTGAAAAATTTGCATACTAGAAAAACAGGCAACGGAAGCAATTCTGATTGGCTGATTCGGCAAATGTCAATCAATCAAAAAAGTGGGCGGCAGACATTTCGTTAAAGGTTTGTATCAGGCTCTCTTTTCGTTTCGTCTTGCCCACCGGAATGTAATTTTCAAAGCGAAACGAAAATAGAGCCTGATCTCAGGTTAGTCAAGGAGGGGCGATATGATTTGTAAGCTTCGACTGTGTTCGCATTTCTTCCACAGATTGATAGCTCCAACCAGTTGAACGTCAAGTTGAGTAATATCTCCCTGACCAGACAACTTACCATTGATTATGAATCGACATGTGACGAGTTTGTCCACCTTTCGCCAGAGGCCATTCGCAATATGACATACGACACCAGTTCAGAGATTTACAGTGTTGGTATCATGTTATGGGAGATGTGGTACGGCAAGGAGGCGTTCTCCGAAATGAGGGGCAAGAGCCTGAAAGTGTTTCTGACCACTGTAGAGGAAGGTTATCGTCCTCAGCTTCAGCAGTTGAATACTCAAGTTGCATTCAAGTTGTCCCAACTGGTAGAAGAGTGCTGGTCAAAGGATGCCACCAAAAGGAGAACGCTTGAATATTGCACTTCTGTTATTAGGGATATTTTGTCCAGTTAGTTTGGAAATGTAGGTAACTTTTCATGTCGTGCCAAAGATTTCCCACGTCTAAGTAAGCACGTAACGATGATAAAATGTAACCTCGGAAAGGTATCCTCTGGAAACAACTGCTTTATTCATTTTCTTTTAGTACGAGTACGTAATTATAGGAAAAGCACACTGCGATAGTATAACACTTAATTGTTGCGAAACGCGTCTGAAGGGACGCGACATAAGTTAATAGTGAGACGGCAGAAAGAAGAGAACGGCAAAACGCTTGTGTGTGACAGTCGTGACAGGGCTATTAATTCCGTGGTTATGTCATGATCCTCACTTAACATTAATGTTTTCTGGTCTTTGCAAAAACATCTGTTTAATGGAAAGTGGAGTAAAGTTATTTCAAACAAAATTATTGTCACGCTTGTCACACAAGGTTTGCCGTCTTCTCAGTTCCTCTCCTATCCTGTTGCGTAAGTTCACTAATATAATAATTGCAAAAAACAGAGTTTTATAACCATTTACTCATGCGGTTTACCTTCTTGTTTTTTGAACAATAGTCAGTGTTTTCAGAGAAGAAAAAGTGCCAAGAGGAATGAAAAAAGTTTTTAAAAAACAGCCTCCTCTTATCATGATCACTTATTAAGAATACGCTCGATTCTACTTTATTTGCAGTTGTCAAGCTATGCAGGACGTAAAGAAAAAAGTGAGCAAAGGAAAATGCAGTCATTAGACAGGCTACATTAGAACATAGGGTGAGTCTAGGGTGAAAAGTAGGTTAAGCACGCTTTGGTTTTGGTGACTTTGTTTAAATAATCAGAACGTCACGTCGTACTTAGGCGCCTGTTTGGAAGGTAGATACTATTTTTAAAGAGAACGGCTGTCATCTCATGGTCATTAACGCGGCAGCCAATAGATAGAAGAATGTGCTAATGACAATCACTCCTTATGGAACTTGTTTTTCTTCCTCGGGAGAGTGTGCGTGATATACTTGCAATTTTACACCAGCAAAGACAGCCTCGTCCCCAGGGCTTTTCCCTTACAAAATCAGGGAATCCTGGGGACAAGGACTTAAGCAAAGGCGGGCCTAGAAGTGTTGGATCGAGTTTTCCAAAATTCCACCCTTCTTCTTTGTCGTTTACATGTCTGTGTTAAAAAGCGTGGTGCTTTCAAGCCTTCGGATGAAATTAAAGTTGTATGCGATCATTCTGTGATAGAAATTTCTGCTTCCAATTATACATACCCCACCGTGGTAGAATCGACACTTTGCTGCTTTTAGTGCTGTCTCATGTTCGTGTTATGCCAAAAAAGACTAAAAAGAAAGTCTTTTTTGATATAAAACAAACATGAAACAGTACCAAAAGCAAAGACTAACATAACATGGCTGCGCTTTTCTTATGATGTCATATCTCGCAACCATAGAAACCGACTCTTACCAAAGTTCGCCATAATGGGTCATAATGTAGCCGATTGCAGCCGATTTTGTACCGTCACCCAACGCTCCTCCCTCAGGCCAAGAGCGTTGGGTGACGATACAAAAACAGCTGCAAGGGAGACTAGCCGTATTGCGAACTAAGAAAGCACCAGTATGAAGGCAAATAAAAAAAAGACATCACAAGGGGGGGAGCGCCCGACATAATCCTATTATACGCTTAACCTGGCTTTATACGATTAGAGAGTGTGAGTTTAAATATTATTTTAACACCATAACCACCGGCTAACAGAGTTTAATTGATCAACGCTGTTTTAATTATTGGAACGTTTTGCGCTTTTTCTATTCAATTTGATTTATTAGTTTGTTTGTCAACAGACAGTGAGTTCATTTTTTCAATAAAGCCCCATGATCACATATTTAATAGTCAGTTTGTTTTCTAGCAGATGGTCAAAGGATTTAACACTCGTAAGGCCCGACCATTTGATTAATTTGGAGAGGGGAGAGGGCATGCATGGTAGCCTCTTACGCAGACATTCTTAGGCTTTCGTCACGCGTTCCTACCCCAAGTTCGTGACAAAGGAGCTTATGTGACAAAGCCCTGGGAACTTCAGTGTGGAAGGCAAGGGGAGTGGGTGAATTCTTGATGGGGTTAGTTAATGATCCTATAGTCACGCAAGAGAGAATACAACCTGGTACCTAGGGCGAGGTTGGGGATAATAGTGTCCCTTTTCTCTCGATTCCCACCAAAAAAATACGGAAAATAGGTCCGTCCTCCTGATGCCGGAGTACATGAGGCGAGTGTTAAATTAACAGTCGAATAGTAAGAAAAGAAAAGGAAAATTATATTACACTAAGGATTTGGTCGAGGGGATGAACCGGTTATGGTTTATTTGCTGGAAGTTCCACAATAGGGTTTGTCACTCTGCTGTCGTTCCGTTACCCTGTGCGCCAGAGACTTTGCTTCGGCCTATGGCCCAAGATGTGTAGGCCTTCAGCCGAAAGCGAAAATTCCTGCCGCAGGCGAGAAAAACCTCTGGTACCCAGGGTATCGCTCATTGCTTATTACTAAGTTTCTTATATAGAGTAACCTTTGGTTAAGGTGATACTTGATTTTAAGAGGCTTATCAGAATGGGGCTAACTGTTGGCCGTAAAGCCGTGTGCAAACGGATGCAACACTGTTGGAAAACAACTCCCAATATTGTTGGGAGTTGTTGCATCCCTCTGTACGTAGCTAAAAGTCTGACCGGTTTCAAACTTTGCGCATCCACCAACATGCAACAGGGTGTACAAACGGACGCAACATGTAACATCTAACAAAGTTAGGAGTTGTTGGCCAACGATGTTGCGTCCGTTTGCACGGGGCTTAACAGAGCCAAAAAGTTTTAAGGTGGCTCGACCCAGTATTTTTATAGGCACACCTTCCATCTTTGAATCTCTTATACTTAAACAAATCGATCTGTATTGTAAAAACGATTATGACACATGAATTACACTTAGACTAAACTTTATTGCGGTATTATTTTTTAGGCGATCGGAATAAATGTCACGTGGCAATGACGTCACAATGGTTTTAGCTGTAAATTTTGTTGTAATTGTTTTAGTTATAATTAATTGGTAACAGAACTTCGAGTCGTCCAATTCGGTCTATAATCATACTCGTGATTAAACAAATCGGACTCCCGCTACGCGGTCATCCGATTTTGTTAATCACTCGTACGATTATAGACCGAATTGACCTCCACTCAGTCCTATTAATTACCACTATGTATAATAGTTGAGCTTCCGCTCGCGCGCGCGAAGCGCGAATGAGAAGAGCCCCATAGGTAAAGAAAATTGGAAACCTATGGATCCGAGAAATTTTGGTTATGACGTCGGCGTACGACCGAATGCCCACCGTCCGTACGTTCTTTCCGGGTGGGCTTAAGTAGAAAATGAATTCCTTCCCTCCTTTCCTAGAGAGTTTTGTCCCCTATTGTTCAAGAAGGCTTTTTAAATGATCGACCAATCAGAATCTTTCTAATAATAATTTAACAATAATAAATGTATAATTTATTTAACAATAATTTATTCAAAAACATATATGCATATAAACATGATACATGATACATAGTTGAAAAGGTGGACCTCGAGGTTATTCCTATAAAAGGTCCCCTAACTGAACTTTAAAAGTATTAGAAAATTATTTAAAAAAGGCTCGTAAAAATCATTAGTGAAGGTACAAAGTGAAAATATATACGAATAAAATATGATCTACTGTGTAAATAAATTTTCATCCACCTTTTTAAGCCTTTTTTAAATTTGCTAACGTTAATGTCATCATTGAAGAGATGGTTTGGCAATCTGTTCCAGTCTTTGACGATTCTCACAAAAAAGGAGTACAGAGCAAATGTTTGGTGGATTTTAGGGCCGATCATTTGCCTTTTGAGCGGGTTTTGAGTGATTTCAGAAAAAATATCCCGCCGACTGAGTTCGAGCGGAAAAATAGTGCAAGGAAATACCTGGGGAGAAAAATATACCGCACTGAAAAAAAACATATCGCTCATGGCATATAACGCTGAAAAAAAATCTTGCTCCGCTATATGTTGGGGAAAAAAATTCAAGCTCCAGAGGTTTGGGAAAAAAGTTCTTACCGTAACTAAATCACCCATACCTCGCCTAAAAAGTCAAATTGGTTGACCCCTTAGCGGCTAAGGAAAGAACGGATTTGACACCTTAGTAAATGACACCCATCAACAAAATGGCTGGCCCGTGTTCATTATGTGGCGGTTTTTAAGACAAACGTTTTACATTTAGCTGCTTTTCAAGATTAAAAATATCATCTTCGGCAGGGGCGTAGCCAGCTTTTCGACTTGTTGTAGACATAGCTGACTGCGGTCGGAATTTCATTTCCACATATTCTGAAAATTGCTTTTTCTAATTCTATTGATTGCTGACATGACTAGTACGCACTGAGCTCACCTAAATTTTAAGCTCTTAAGCTTTCCCCCAACAGCACATTATTTATTCTGTACAAGGGCCTGAATGGGGCCATAAAATTGTAGGCCAGGGCCTGTCGGTCTACAAGCTGGCTACGCCCCTGTTTGGCATATACCCCGAAAAACTAATACGTCAACGAAATTTGGTTGCGGCGAAAAATCCCATCTGGTCTGATTTGGGAGATAAGTTGAGGCGACAAAAGGGTCCATATTTTGACTTAGTTGCAGCATCACTTGTTGTTGCTCCGATCTAAATCTACGACAAATAGAACATCAACTAACAGAGGAGCGTCATTTTTTGCCCGTAAATCAGCTCTGAGACCTACATAATAATACTAATCTATCATCTATACATACAGGCTTCACCTACACCTGAAGCTTCGCGAGTGTACAGAGCTTTAGAATTTCCTCTATACTTTTACTAGTGAGGGGTCAAGATGCTTATAATAGTTTAATTTTATACCTTCGTTTAGTAGTACTCAATACTTCATTAACTAACTTATACTGGCCAATACAATTGTACCACTTGAAGATGGGTCGAAATTCTTTTATAGCATTCATTAGCTGAGGGGCGGTCATTGTGCTTCTTCCGCCAACGCTCCTTCTTTAGGTTTCCCCACGCATGGGTAGGTTCTCGGCAACCTTTCACATGTTCTGGACGACCACCGTCATCCACCATCCTAAAGAAATCTTCTAGTGATACTGATTCAATTTTCGCGAAAGCTCGTTCTCCGTACCAGAGCTCCCACAACATTATCCCAAGACTGTAGATGTCTACTTTGCTGTTATACACCTGGGATTTGAACACTTCTGGTGCCATGTAGGCGGGGCTTCCAGCAAGGGTACCAGTAATGTCTACTGCTTCTTTAGATGCGCCAACGTCTGTAACTTTTACTATGTTTGCCTCTGATAGCTTCAAAGAAAAAACAGTTAAAAGTTCAGACACGACTAAGATGTGGACATGGCTTAGCGGTGGTGTGGGAGACGCGGCATCTCTTAATTAATTGGCAAGGATGTTTCATGATTTCTAGAAGAGCAGAAAGTTTTATTCCTTCTTCTTTTGAGTAACGTACACATTCATCCACCCTACTCCCACCCCACCTCCCCCCGATTACGCACCCCTTTAATCCCAAGCTACAATTAAGGATTTAAATAAGGGAACTGGATTGTCATTTGAAAAAGGTTGTAGACAATTCTTGAAATTTTTTTTTATGTCCTCTTCACTTTTTTAAAGTTTTTAACTTTTTTAAAAGATTAAAATCTTTTACCATAAAAGCTTCATTTAAGGAAAACTAATCCAGGCAACGAATGGTAATATGCTTTCTTTAGATGGATTACACGTGGACATTGGGTATCGAAAATCTTATTCACGATAAGTAATTGACCATTAACCGAAAGGAGCGGTTATGGACTGGTTTGAATAGGGTTATTAGTCCCTAGTTCATTATATATGCTTTTTACACGGTGTTAAGTTTCATATATCATGTTAGTAAGATTATATACTTTAGCTTGAGGGGCTGTGTACAGTCCCGCCGATGGATGACTTTGCCTTATATCATGATTTATCAGACAGTCAATTCTATCACAACAATACATAGGTTGTTGTTGTTGTTGTTTTTTTTTCTTTTTCCTTTTTTTTCATTATTTCCGTTTTTCCTGACACGTTTTTCTTATAATCACAAATATATAAAATGCTTGTGTCCTTTTCCGATAAAGGGTGATCACTACTTATTTGATGACATAGTTTTTACCCAGTAAATAACAGATTTGATTTGTTGTCATAAAGACTCAGCGCTATCCACTACTTGGCCTATTGGGAAAAATGGAAGAGCAAAAAATCACAAATTTCCATCTTACCAAGATGTTTTCCAGTTTAAGGTCTCTGTGAACAATCCTCTGTACGTCATGAATGTACGCTAAAGCATCAGTGATTTCTTTCACCCACTGACAAGCAGTTCGAATGGCCTTACGTTTTGTTTCGGATTTCCCCGGAATTAACTCGTGGTTTTTAGAGATATAACTCCGTAAGTTGTCTTTGCAGTATTCTAAAACCAGAACAATTCTCACGGAATTTTTTTCCCAAAGCAGCGACGTGCCATAAAACTTTACAACATGAGGGTGGCTCAATTTTCTAAAGACATAAAACAAATGAGTAAGAGAAGTTAATAGGAAAGCAAAATTTCTGATATGACCGAAGGCTAAATAATACGCCAATTACAGTTCTATTTATTTGTTTATTTACTTATTACCCAGGACACCACAACAGGTAACGCCATCAGTGTGCTGTGGGACCGTACCATGTGCCCCATGTGTATCTTTCTCCCCATGTAAGGGAATCCGGATTCCGCAATCTTGGAAAACTTGGCTTGCGGAATCCGGAATTCTGGGCCTTGGAATCCGGAATACAGCCGTAGAAATCTAAAATCCCACTAACAATTGGAATCCGGAATCCAAGTTCCACTGAAAAAAATCTGGAATCCAGTAATTGGACTCTGGAATCCACGGCATGGAATCTTGGATTCCCTTACATGGGGCGATATCTTGGCGGTAACCAATGGTACACCACGCCAACCCAAGGGCACTGAATTTTTCAGGTCCCTACTGACATCTGGAAAAATAGTGTACCCGTGATCAGACTGATCTCAATCACCAGGATATTGGCACTCCATCAACAGTAGTTGAGCTAACCGGTTAGTCGCCTTATCGGCAGAAAAGCCTTAAAGTTAGTTCGGCCATTTTAGTTAATAGTTATTCATGAACCCATAGCTAGAAGCAAAAAGAAAATTAGGCGTTTTAGATGAAGGTCAGTTACTTTTTAAAAAAGTGTCCAACGTCGCTATATGGGCTACCATTTTGAGTGTCTATGTCTAGTTTGTCCTTTATTCTCTAAAAGAGATCTGATTTGTATTTAGTTCGTTAATTTTTTTCGTGTTCTTTAATCAAAGTTATATAAATCTAAAATTTCATGCAATCTCATTACACGTTATCTACCTCACATTGGCAGGAGCCGATTACTAATACTGGATCTATCTTTAGCTTAATATTTTCTGTCTGTTCATCGTTACTGAACAAACAAATTACTGTATAGGATTGCTCTCACCTCAAAATCTGAACTTCAGACATAAAAAGGCTTGCGTTGTTTTTGGCATCAAGGACATCGTTGTACATTTTTAGTGCCACTACAGTGTAAACGTCTTCATTTCGTTTCATATTTCCCTTGTACACAACGCCAAATGCACCACAGCCGAGACGGGAAGAAGTATCCTCTTTCCAGTTCAGATTATCAGTACTGATATCAGCGGCTCGAACTTCTTTGAAGCCATATTCTGCCAGACGCCCTCTGAGGTGAGAACCTTCATCAATTATTGGCTGGTATCGGTCTGCTATGTCTTTCTGTGAGCGTGTCTCGGCAACATATTGGTTGCGTAACATCTTGCCTTCCTCTATCAATTCTGGTAGACGTGCCTCAATCTGCTCGAGGAAGAATTTGGCTTCTTTCATTTGTTCGTTCACGAAAAGCTTCAGGCCTTTTTCCTCTTTAGAATCTTCAAGATACTTTTTCGATACTTTTCTCAAGAAAGTACACTTGTCGCCCTCGTAATGTTTAACTCTTTTTCTTTCTTGCAACTTCATTTTAGTTGCCGCGAAACCAAGAACAGGAGCAGTGATTACCAGAGCAACTAAACCAAGTGGAACCCAGATTGGGCTAGTGAATCCAATAAATATTTTTGCTGCCAATGGGATGTCTTGGTCTTCAAGAAGCTCGTCCAGATTTTCTGAATCAACATCAGCTGTGATGGCGATCTCGAGATTCCGCAACTGTCCTTCAAAAAAATTGAAGAGACTTTGAACGTGTTCCACGAGGGACTTGTAAGCATTTGCAAACACTTTATTATCTTCTTCCCATTGCTGTATGAATTCTCGCAGCCGCTTTGATAGCAGGTTCTTTATTTCCTTTATTGTATCGTCCCAGTTGCCTTCTAATCCTGGCACTTCATCTAATGTCCATGACGTAAAGCGAGCCGTCACTTCTTCAGATGAGAGGTACGCGGATAGTTTCTGCAAAGCACCATGCTCAAGTGTCCTCTGAAATTCATGAAGGCCTGCAACTGCTTGCATTTGCTTTTTTTCAAACGCCTCTAAAAACTGATCAATTCTACTCTTCTTTTTGTACAGTTGGCTGCGATTTCTAGAGGCATTCTTCACGGAAACTTTGGCTTGATTAATAATTCGTTGAATAACGCGATCCAACCATCTAAATGAGGAAAGAACAGTTAATGCAACAAAGGTTATCCGGAAGCTAGGGTGGTGTTACTGACAACCATTTAAGTTATACAAGTATGTGCAACCCTAAAGGGAAGACCAGGGTTTGGTTTATGCACTGCTTTTGTCCGAAAAAAAATACTAGTCTTAGATTTTGCCCAATGTAATCTGAAAATCGGGTGTAGTCTCCAAGGGGAAAAATAAACTTTTTGTTGTTTCTACTTAGGTAAATTAATGGTATTTGCAAACTGAATACAATTTCGGAAGCCAAGTCTCGAAACGGGTATGTATCATATGGATTTTGGGGGCTAAAACGAGTGTCGGAAATATCATGTTTTGGACGCCTGACTTGCCATGGTCATGGATGCAAATAAAGCCTAGCAACGCTCCAGGCGACCTTCAAGGCTGTTATGCTGCAAAGGAGATTTCGATTTTTTTACCTTTTAGTTGGTAAGTGCGTTATCTTGATTGAGCTGCATGCTCGTTTATCCGTTGTGGGCAAAGGCTCTGTTGAATACTCTCGATTACATTTTACGACTCATTTTTATTATTTCCTTAAAAATTCTTTACTACAAAATACGTTTCTGTGAGAACCTCAGGGAGGTTAGGGAAAAGGCCAACAGAGGACATAACGGGAAAAGGCTAGGTAAAAAATCTTGAAAAATTAGTTACGTGTAGCCTGATACTTACGTCCAATGAATTTCCAGCCTGGATCTAATACTCTTTACCACCACAAACCTCAAGCCTTTCATCAAAGTGCGAAATTCCTCTGTAATAAAGCCATAGCCTTGAGCTTTACTGGCTTTTGTTGTTGACATATACATGACCTGTGACTCGGGATCAACGCCAGGCCAGCATACTTGTAGTTTTTTGATCACATGATTCTTGACCTTATCTGCCTCCTTCTCCGGGACTTGGTCCCACTTGTTACAGACAAAAAATGCAGATTCGACAGGCACTTCACCCTGGCATTGAACTGAGACTTTTCTAACCTCCTCTAGTAATTTTTGCAGCTGCAAAAGCATTTGTATCAGTATCATCAAAGGATTTCGGTAAGGATAATGGGATTATAAGAATTTCCTCAACTTAACTACGCGCATTTTAATTGAACACCACGGACAGCTTTAGATCAAATGAAAGGCAATTAAGGTGGCTCGAGTTAATATCCTTTGGTGCTTGTCTTCTGTGGTGCGACGTTTCACAAAAATCTGTTAGAGGAATTTCGAGATATCTTTGCCTTTCTACAAAAAGGTACAAATTATGCATGAACTGAAGGCTAGAGTTAATGCAGACAAATTTGCTAATTTTTCACATTAATTGACTTCAATGCACTGAGACTGTTTCCTGTCGTCTGTTGCCACGGATGGCAAGAATGGACATGGGTGTTTTTCAAGATTTCATGCTCGTGCAAAATTGCCAAAAACATAATATGGTTAGTGCTGTGAAATTTGTTTAATATCTTCTTCAGCGGGGCTCAACACTCGACAGGAGTGTTTTGTGCCCGGGGGTTACTCCCTTATATAAGCCATATAGGTATGTGTCGCCCCATCGGGTAGGGTTTTTGCGACGTTTTGGTCTGGAAACGGGTATACTCCTTGCCCATTTTGGACTGGAATCGGGTATGGTGTTCGAGGGAACTAAGGAGTGTATGAAAGTATTTATCGTTTCAATTCCAAATGAGTTAGAAAGAAAGAGAAATATGCGAATTTGAAATGGATTTGAATAATTTTTTCATTGCGCTCTAATCTAAGTAATGATAACATAATTTCTGCTAAAAAGCTAGGTCTGAAAACTAGTATGGATTTTAGAGGTCTAGTGTGAAAACGGGTGTGGAAAATTACATTTTATGGTCTGAAATCGGGTCAGTATTTGAAGAACCGGGCGACACACCCCCACCAAGAATTCCCAGGAGTACCCCTACGGGGGTTTTGTGTATAGTTAAAGGCACTTAGTTCATGACTTCAGCATAGAATTGACCTATAACAGCAATTTGCTTGTGAAATAGCCCCTTTGAGAGCAGCTACTAAACGATTATCGTTTACTATACGATACTTGCCCTATCCTTCTGAATTCCACCTGAATTTGCACTGTTAATGACATAGATGAAAGCAAACGCCTGGGGTAGATATTGTGTGACTGCCTGGTCCATAATATCAGACTCGCCAACTCCAGGACTATCAATTATCACAATTCCTTTCTGAAATACAAAACTTTCAAATTTTTACCTCATTCAATGCACATAGAGCTCACTATATATAACGTAGTCATAAGATTGATTTTACAATCATATCTCAGATTGTTTGCTTACTACTGTGTCGCGGTATGACTGAGTACGTAATAGCTATTATTATATGTACAAAATATTTCATTCTCCGTTTCAGATCGGCTCGAACCCCCGGTTTATTCTTCACAACCAACTAGCGTTGATCAAATTGGAAATACGTCCGCGTTAACTGGTTAATAACATCAATAGTGCAGGATAACGCAAGAAAAAGGGACGGCAGCCAAGAAGACCCGAGGACACGATTGCGTTAACTCATCTCACTTATAGAGACGGAGAAATAGCAGAAAATTTCACCCTCTTTGCGAAGAAGAAAAGAACATAGAAAAACAGCAAAAATACACCTAGACGGATGACAACCGCCATTTGAAGAATGTCTGCTCGTCATCATCATTGTTATTATTATCATCACCATTAAAATCATTATCATTAAATCAACGTAACCCTCCTTTCTTTCTCAATTTTTAAGGCTTACGTTTCGCACTTGGTATCAGCTATGATAGTGTAAAAAAATTAAATAAGCCTCAAACTATGACTTGATAATTACATATGCCGCGTCTACCTCCAATAAACTGTGAGGCCAAAAGAGCTCAACCTTCTTGAAATTTGATCCCATTTCGCGATCGTTCTCCACGTGAACATAAGGAGAAATTTGATGAAGGTAACCTTCTTCACACTCCATTATCGGGATAACCTTTGTTGGTAGGCCTGTTTCAGGATCCTTGTCTTTAAAGTGAGCGACCATTTTACGTTCCTCCCCAAACTTAAGCTCACAAATGGTTGACGTTGTGCTAAGAACCGAATATGGAAGAAGCTCTTCTCCCAGAATAAGATTTATCAAGCTACTTTTTCCAGACCCTGTCTCTCCTGCAAAGGTATGAAGTTATTAGTATTTAATTTCGGATTACTGAACAACTATCGTATTGCATGTAGAACTGAAGGAAAATCTGTTCTAAGGACTAAATAAAACTGATTAGTATATACACGTACACCCTCAGAGATCTTGCAAGATCTCTGATCTTCGTGATTTAAGCAATCTGATTGGTTCGCTATCTCGGACTATTAAACATTGTTATATTCCAAGACCTTCACTCAACAAAACAGGGACTGCCATTGGCTGATTCTTGGTCACATGGCCTTGACTAAAATGAAATATATCCCGATCGTGATACATTAAGCAATGTAGCCAGCTCGGGATATATTACAGCACGTGATCAAAGCACGTTGGAAAGTGGCGTGGCAGAAGGCGGGAAAAACACCGCCAATTTTTTTTTTTCGTGAATGAACACAACAACACAAACATGAAGCCTCAAGCTAAAAGGCAACGATTTTCAAAGCTATCCCAGAAGAGAAACAGCAGCTAGTGGAAGTAAAAGATGAAGAAAATATAAGGAAAGTACTTTGTAAATCATTCATTCAGTAGTTTCGAGAATTAAATTTGTGTTCTTATAAGTACCGAGTCGACTGTTTTGATTCGCTCCGGTTATTCGTCTGTCTCTGTTGAAGTGAAAGTCTAGAAATGTAACAAAACACTTAATGTCAGGTCCCTCGGGAAACAGTTTGTTTTGTTTTCCCGAGAGTCCTGATGTTTCTAGGACTCTAGGGAAAACAAAACTAACTGTTTCCCTCGGGATCTGACATTAAGTGTATAATATTCACCTCCTAGCGGGTGGATAATGTGTGAGCTTGGTGTTTTTCTCATTTTTTAGAGAAGGATCTTTTAAAGGTCAACAAAATCCTAGGGTTGACCCTTTTTTAAGGCAAGAAGAGACATGGAAGGATTCAAAACGACGTTTTTCCGTTTACTGTCGCTGAGTTTGGTGCTCGATGGATTGTTTACAACTCCAATTTATTGCATAGAAGAAGCCGTTTCGTGAACTCAGCGTTTCCTAACAAGAAAATTTGGACCAAAAATCGAAGTTTATTTATGACAAACAAATCTGAAAGTAAATGTTTGCAAAAGTTTACGTTTCAAGTAAATAGGAAAAAGAATGGTACTGGAAGACGACGTCTTACCTCGAGAAACCGACTCGCCATTTTTGTCAACACTAATTCATGCGAAGAACGACACAACAAACCCTTTTGGCTATATACTCGGCGAGTCAACAGAAAACAAAAAAGCTCTGCTTTTCTTCTCAGGTAAGGAAAGAGCAGGGGCACCCAACGACAATTTTCGGAAGAATATCTGTTCGGAAGACGATTTGAGATCTAGAATTTTCGAAACATTTGTTGTAAAATTTCTTGCTTGCCTGCCTCTCCTAGGATTTTCGAACATCTAAAAAATGGTATAATTGCCCATTTTAACGATTTTTACCCTAAAAAGGTCACCTAGAATTTTCGGGAGCCTCTTTTCTGGCTTAAATTTTCGAAAAGGTAAGTTTTGATCCCTATAATTTTCGGATCACTAAACTTTCAGCTAGGAAATCTGAACAGATGAAAAATTTTAGGGGATAAAAATATGCCTATATCTACCGTTTAAATACTAAAATACGTTTAACAATGCAATGTTTAAGTGGTTTTGAACTATATTCTCGTTGGGTGCCCCTGAAAGAATTCAAACTTTAAACGATTCCATTTAAGCCATTACGCTGTTGTTTGCGAAGTGATAAACTTGTGAATTGCCATGTTTGAAAATTCTGCAAAGATCTCTTTTTTTAAAAATAGATCTTTGCAAAGTTTGAAAACTTTCGCGTGATTTAATCCGTCAATCAAATCGTACCTTTTAATGGCTTCCTCTCTGATTTTGTTGAGATCACTTCTTGTGTATATACTAAAACAATTATTTCAATCTCCGTGAATAGTGGCTTTCACTATTCACCTCGATTTTAAAGAATGATGATTGTTCATTATGTCTCAGAATATATCCACAGTATCCGCCATGATCCTTCCGAGATCAACTAGAGACTGAGTCTCTATAATATATTGTAATTCAACATTTTTTTGCATCTTTTGCTGTCAATAAGGCAATAAAAACAACAAATATTTTTATGCGGATTTATGAAAAGATGCAGGGTTAATAGAAAACATTTTGTATAATTTCGCTCAACTTTCTCAAGGTGTTCCTCCAGGGGGACCCAACGTCACGTTTAAAAAAATATGTGTTCGGAAGACGACTTGAGATCTAGAACTTTTCGAAAATTTTTTGTAAAATTTACTGCTCGCCTGCCTCTCGTAGGATTTACGAACATCTAAAAAATGGTATAATTGCCCGTTTTTGACAGGTTTTTACCCTAAAAAGGCCACCTAGAATTTTCGGGAGCCTCTTGTTCTGGCTGAAATTTTCGAAAAGGTAAGTTTTGATCCCTATAATTTTCGGATCACTAGACTTTTTGCTAGGAAATCCGAACAGATGAAAAATTTTTAGGGGATAAAAATATGCCTATATCTACCGTTTAAATACTAAAATACGTTTAACAATGCTTAAGTGGTTTTAAACTATATTCTAGTTGGGTGCTCCTGTTCCTCTGTCTTAGCATGTTTATAGTGTCGTTTGTTAGAGCGAATTTCTTATCACCTTGAAATGAAAACGCGCGAACGGAACAAAAGCAACAAACGAACTGAAATAGAGCGATTTGTTTGGTTTATCGAACGGATACGAACCCTCGTGTCTTTTGGTTGGTTGAGCGAACGCTTGGGGGAAAAAAAATTCGTGCCCGAGAACTGTCCAGAAATCAATCGCATACTTCGCTATGACGTCATACTGCAACACGATTGGCCAATCGAACAATGCCTTCTCCAAATTGGGGTTCAACAGCGGCAAAGAATAAAGAACGACGTGCAAAACATTTTCGATATTTGTAAAGTTTTATATATGAAGAAAATAAGTTTAATTCTCAAAACCGCTGAATGAATGATTCACAAGGTATTTTCCTTGTGCAATTATCTGCGCCTTTTTTCTCTACCAGATCTCTTCATAGATGACGTCGAAAATCGTTGTCCTTTAATAAGATAATCAACCAACAGCACTGTGTCCCTGTTTATTTGAGTGAACGTCTAGGAATACGTTGTAAAACAAAATTCTCTAAGGTTTTTGTTTGTCGTTGTACATGACGAAGCTTAATAAGATAAAATTAATTACGATCAATCACGCAAGGTTGTTCGTTCCTGTTTACCTGCCACAAGCACAAAGTATTCCTTTCGTGTCAGTTGCAGTTTGTGATGCTCGATATGGTGGACACGAAATTGGTCGGAGTCTAGTTTATTCAACAATCCCTCGACTTCAGTGAGAAGACTGAGTAAACTTCTTCTTTTTCTTACTCCGTCATCTCGTACATCTGACAAGATAGAAAAGGCCTACGGAAAGAAGTAAGGACTTATTAAAGTCGAAGACACTAAAGAACTCAACTGTAACCGAACAATTTATTATCTAATTTTAGTCGATTTTGAGCCTCTGTCCAATTAATTAAAATTGAGAATCGGCGTGCGAAACGAGGCCCTTTCCCCCACTGTGGAGGCCGGTCCCAGGCTTGGCCACTGCCCTTAATTATTGTCAAATACTATCTGCAGAGAGGATTAATTTTATTTCCCTTACCTGCTGATGAGAAAGAAAGGACACGATAATTAATCTTGTCACCAACGCATTTAAAAGTTTGAAATAAACATGCAAACTCACGTGTCCTTTGTTTGGCTTGAACGATAATAGCCTGACAGCAAGCGTTTCTGTTTTTTTTGTTTGTTTTGTTTTGTTGTTGTTTTTTTTTCAGTCTAGACGTGAAAGTTCGAACCGAAGAAAGGGGTGGTATTTGCTAAAATATATTTTCTAATTTCCAATTTTTTTCCATACATTTTGTGCTTTATTTTTCTTACTGCTCACAAGAAACGCGATTTTTAAAATGAAGTTACACAGACTTGTCTTTGTTTTGTTTTCAAAAATCGACGAGGCCGGCCACACCGAGAAATGGCGAGCACGGAGCGCGACAACAAGCGACCCTACTTTATCTTTTTCCTAACCCCACACTCCTACCGGCTACTTGACTACTTCAGTAATTTTATTTTCATACGCGAGGTAGACAATCTCTAAACAAATAATACAAGGTACCCGTGAACAGCCTAGTCACCTGACTACTATTTGTGCTCAAGGTTGTATAAAGACAATATATACAAAATGCTCCGCCAAGCAGAAAAGGTCTGGTTCATCACGGCAGTGAAAAGATATCAAGGAAGAAAATGTTGCATCACGGTAGTAAAAAGATATCAAGGAAGAAAATGTCACATCACGCCACGGCAGTAAAATGATGAAGGTAGAAAATGTTACATACATCACGGCAGTAACATGATATCAAGGAAGAAAATGTCACATCACGAACCGTAAAGTGATATCAAGGTGAAAAATAACGATGGTTGGTTCATTCTATCACAGGAACATTTCACTGGATATGTCGGCACCACATTAAACATTACGTTAACAAACAATTTTGAAACAAACGGCGCGCCATATCTATTTGCGCCTCGTTTGGATAGTCTTTTCGTAACGTGGCGATCGCTTTGAGTGGAAGTTTGCGCTGACCAAGGGTCATCATGATTTCCAGTTTTGTTACGTCCCACTCGGTGCCAAGTGATAAATTAAGAACAAGGGCTTCTTTAGCAAGTTGAGATCTTGCTCCGTCAGGAGGTCGGTAGTATCCTTCTTCAGTCCATTAGTTTCGGACCAGCTTTTAAAGTCAAACGGAGTACTCATTATAGGTGCTTCAAAAAATGACAGTTGCTAACTACGCTCTTGCTGTTGTTGCTCGCTCGAAGGCTATCGCAATATGTCAGATACTTGCGGTTGCTTGTACTATATATCTCTTGGGCTTGGCTAGCACTTCCGCCTCACGTATCAGTAAACCACTACTCTGAGTTCTTCAGATACCTCTCTGGAAAAGTTAGCTTGGTCGCTTTTTACTTGACAGGAATTTTTTATTCACTTGATACATATTAGCCTTGATACAATTACAAAAGAAAACGCAGCGGAAATAAAATGTGCCCTCCATTTTGTTTGTAAAGAAGGCGAAGGGCTCTTACAAAAGCATCAGTAACTGTAGCAATTTTTAGAACACGCAACTATATGCATTAAAAATTAGAGTACTAAAAAAATTAGTCGAATCTAAAACGTAATGTCAGGCCTTTTAACCCTCAGTTTCCTAGTAACATTGATTACCATCTTATGTCTCATTCCTTCTACGCTAGTATAGTTCTTCGCTATACACCATTAAGCCTGATTCGGTGATAAACAGCTGTTCAAGCAAATCAAATCTACCTGGCTTAATTTACCGCTGTAATTTCGAAGTTTAGTTATCTATAACTTATACGCAAAAGAGAGGAATCGTCGTTTTCACGCGTACATAATTGCACAATTCCGCTATCTCGGAAGTTCCCTCACAGAACAGCACTAACAGAAGAGCAAGCCTAATACTGCGTACTGATGCGAGCAAATTGCGCCCAGATAAAGAATAACCAAAGCCTATCGAACATGTATTAATTTAACACATCTCTACTATTAACAGCAATCACAGTACCTGCCCTGCACTCCAACCGGATGATTTTGACGACTGGCCTAGTGTAGTTCTAACGTGATCTTTCATTTGTTCCAGCGATTTTAACCCTTTGGAGGAAATGCCGAGCTCCCTCATTAACAGAATCATCTCCTCAAAATCCTCGATTTCATCAAGGTTTTTTTGTTTACCTGCCGCCATTGTGATTGAGATTCCGGCTTACATGAAAAAAATGAAAACTAACGTAAAGCAAGTGCTCATTGCGAAAAACATGATGCATTCTAAGAATACCGTAAAATTCCGAAAATAAGCTCCGGGGCTTATATTTTTCAAAGGCCCTTTTTGAGGGGCTTATTTTTGGAGGGACGTATATTCGGAGGGGCTTATCTACGGAGGGAAATTTGGGTTCAAAATCGATTTGGCTAGCCTTACAGTTGGACGTAAATTTACCCTTGTTTTACTTTGTATTTGAGGGCAATTTTCCAATTTCAAGCCCCCAGGGGGCTTAAATTTGGAGGGGCGATTTAAGAGGGTCTCAATGGGGTTAACCGATAGGCGTAAAAGACCCGTAAAACGGCCAAAAATTTAGTCGATAGCCGTGAAAATTGAAAAATTTTAACCGTTAGCCGTAAATAGAGTAAAAAGGAGTTAACCGTAAAAGAAACTGTTCCCTAGATTTGCTACTTTTCAGGGAGTTACTAAACTCGCTTATGGTTGCGTTTTTTATTTCCCGGCTAGCGTGACTCCGTACGCATGTTAGGCGAAGCGCCTTTTAGGCGTTGACCAAGAGCTAGGCTCCATTTCCGCCACTCTCTCGGGGAACTAACTTTTTCCATAGCGAAATTGTGGCTTCTTGCTGGGGATTAATATTTGCGATTTTCAGGAGGTCGTGCCCTCGAAACACTAGTGAAACAAAACGCAGAGATGTCACTGTTTGTAAAACACGTTGCCGATAAACAACATTTCCCTGTTTTTCTCTGACGCTACGGTAGACATTACCATGCCTAGTTCCTGTACGGCGTCTTCCTACGCAATCTCGGTCAAGGCATTTCGGTGGCAAACTCGCTAGGACCACGTGACCCGAAACTCACTAGCCACACGGAAAAATGAGGCCTACGGACAAGGCAACGGCAGACAGTCGTTCCGTACAGTCCTTCGCTATCATTAAAAACACTAGACACGGGAATTTTTTTATTGGCCGTTTTCAGGCTAGAGCTAGAAATAGATTATCCGTCTGAGACTAGCCTGTGTACAGTCGCGCCCTCCCCACAGACACCCGTTCTCCGAGTTTTTCTGAAGGGAGGGATCGGAGCGGCCGTACACAGGCCCTCTGAAGCAGATAATCCCGTCTTCAAACTGTCCTTCGAAATTGATGGATAAAGTCAGGCGGATTGTTCATTCAAAATTAAAACTATTCCACTTTCAAATTAATATGTGTGAAAAAGGCCATTTCTGTTATAATGAATGTCGCGGGCCGGCCTTGAGTTGGGCTTTTGCGTGACCGCTTTTGCTTTTTCACAAAGATTATTTTTAAATTGACTATTGACATTTCTATGTCTGCTATGTGTAAAATAATATTAGAAGTGAAATACTTTATAAAAAGTATGATCTACCAAATGTTAGAATTTTTGAAAAGAATTGCTTGTTTCATCCTGAGATGATCCGAAGACCTTTATTTTGATTTAAAGATACAAAAAATACAGGTTAATTAATATTTATCTTTTTGAAACAAAAGAAGTTAATTTATAACTTTTTTGTTAACCGTAACTGAAAAAAAATAACCGATAGCCGTAAAAGAGGCAAAATTTTAGCCGATAACCGTAAAAGCCACCACCCCATTGAGACCCTCATTTAACGGAGGGTTTTCTACGTTATCGGTTTTGGGGGCTTATATTTGGAGGGGCTTACTTTCGGACTTTTACGGTAGTTCGGCATAATTAGGGCGGGCCGATAGGAATCTAGGGCGCGTGGGCATCTTACATAACAGACCTCGTCCCGCGCCATATGAAATCCGACGAGGGACTTTTTTTTGAAAGTCTAACCTCGTTTGCGTGCCGAAATTTTGTCCACACGTTGTCAATGAAAAATGGTATTTCTGACTGTAGGCAACATAACATGTACCCTTCGAAACGTAACGCTGCAAACTTTCTTGCCTATATTTGCATACTTGCATTGCCACGAGTTATACAACGGCATCCCTGCATGATGAACAAATTACATAGATAATAACGGCAGCAATGGTAGATAATGCCCGCAATGATGAAGTGGCTCCACAGCTCTCTCCACCACAAAGGCCTCTTTGTATCGCAGGGAGGCTGGGGAGAAAGAAGAAGAAAGCGCGCGGGACACGATGGAAAGGGAAAAGAGAGAAGAAGGCCTCTGCCATATAATGTGCGGTTCTCTGGCAGGATTTGTGGCCTGTCTGTGGTTTTGGCTTTACCAGGCAACTATTTGGACGCTTTTGAAGGGTGTTGTGAAGATGATAGTATAAAAGGGTAGTATACACAATCTGATGGGATTTCGATTCTTTTTCACGGATTTAATTACGATTCATGTTGATGTATTTGGAGCGATTGTCCGCCATCTTGCATAATCTACCCTGCGAATACAGCCGTTTCTCCTTGCTCTCGCTGCTAGGGACGTTTCGTCAGGAGGAACGTCCGAGACTCAGTGACAGAAATTCCATACTGATGACGTGAATCAATTTTGACATAATAAATCCGGTAGTCATGGGGTTCGAAATGTATTTGTTTGATTTTATGTTTCTCCTGGTCGAGCTAGAGCAAAACGCAGATGCTTTTTCTAAACAAGAATCTATTCCAGGAAAATTGACTGTTTTGTAGTAGATTCATCGCATTTACATTTGACCTTTCTGGCCCCTTGCCTTTTGTATGTCAGTCGTAAGCAACAGGTCGAACAATACAACTACTATGACTACCAATCAGAGTTTCTGTCCAGATTCCGGACAGATTTTACGTCATCAGTATGGAATTTCTGTCGCTGAGGAGCAGACGTTCCTCCTGGCCAAACGTCCCTAGCGACGAGGAGCACGTAGAAACGGCTGTATTCGCAGGCTATGGATAATCATGTTCAGAGTTCAATATCAACTATAGTTGTCCTCCACATAAAGGTCGAAAACTAAGATGAGGCCCAGTTCCGGTTAATTACTCATACTTCAAAACAAGGATTCAGTACTGTAGGTTTAAATACGTACTATTTGGACGTTTATCTTTAAGACTACCTTTAATAGTTTTGAAAACTACGCTCGGACCGGGATATTTGTCTCGAGGCTCAGGCTGCTGAATTACAAAAGATTCAAACACAGAAATATATGTCATCTTTTGACTATATAAATTGCAAAACAGCATTTCAGGCATTTCAGTGCCACTGATTAACGGTTTCTTGTTAGTTACGAAGGTACCAAGTCAGAGTTTCTGCTATGTAGACTTGAGCTATTTGAAGGCAGCTAGCCCCCTAATCTCTGTCAAGTTGCTTCTTGTAACATCATGATGTGTATTATGGTAGAGGTCATGATAGTTCGTGAACGAGTTACATGCAATCTATATGTGATTTACTGAACCCTTGTTCTACTGAAATTGAACTACCAGGGTCAATAATATATTGTTATGGAAACATTTAATTTTGTTCCATCACTTGCGAGTCTGTGGACAGGAGATGAGTATAATTATTAAAAATATATTACTTCTTCAGTCCCGGGGGGGGGGGTACTCCCATACAAGAGGCTAATATTAATGTGCCGTTGGATGGGGTCGCATTTTCACGACTGGATTGACTATAATGGGGTTGCATTTTCAATAGAGTTACTAGAATGGGGTCGCAAGATTCTCGGTTAATAAATCAGAAAGTTGTTGTTTATTAAATTTAACAATAAGTTCGCAATGACTGCATTACATTCCGCCGCTGAAAACCACATTGATAATGTAGATGCATAAATAGAAAGTGACTAAGTTGGGATCGTGAAAATTACATTTTCCAATAAGTGACTAAGATGAGGTCTATAATTGGGCAAAAAATAGACTATAATGGGGTATGGGCTCTGTGAGACCAGCGGCACATACCCAGCAAAGTGTTTTTTAAATTGAAATTTAGCATTTGTCTTGATTTTAAAGTGAGGGGTTTTTGGGACTCAGGGAGAGAATTGCCCAATACAAGACACTGAGGATGTTTTGCATGAGGTATGTTTCTTGCTATTGCAAGGTGTTTATCAACCAGTACAACCGTGGGCATCACAAAAATCACAATAACAAAAATCAAACGGAGGGTGTTTTTGGCTGCTCGCTCGCTTTTTTCGCTCACCTAAACTGACAGGGCCTGGCACAGGCTAGATTAGGTACATGTACCATTCAAAAGCTCCTATATTCACTAAAAGTATATATGTACCGGTAAAATTTCATCACTAAAGAACTAAAGAACTTTATGTGCTTTATTTCGGTCTGTCAACTATTAGTAGCAATGGGCATGAGAAAAGTATCTTAAAACGAGGGAAATGGGCTGCCTGCAGTGTCTTCACATCTCCTTTCTGTTAATCGGAGGTTCAGACTCACAAAGCCTACCTAAATTAAAACACAGGCAGATTACATCCTAGCTGATGGAAGATGCCAATACGTTGCTGATAAGGCTTACTGAACCTGGCCCCTGAACTTTCCAGAGTCCAGGAAATCTCTAAAGCAATTCTTTAGTATCTACCTCCTAATTTCTACCTTTGGGCAGCAAAAAAACTTACTTATTTTATTGACATATTTTCCAGTTCACTGCATTTAATTATGGTAAAGCCTTTCATTGTACTCCTATCAAACACGCAAACATGACACATTGTTGTGAGCTGTGAAGTCACAGAGGGAAACACCTCTACCCCTTGACCATAGACTTTGTACAGACAACGGGGTAAGAGAGAATGCCTAAGGACAAGGCCTGATGGTTCTTTCTGATTCAATCTTACTTGCCATTACACAAAATTTTTCCATAACACTGGTTCCACATAAAGTTATCGAAGTATAGGCTCAAGGCCGTTATCAGATACTTAATAGGGAATTTGAGTTTTGTTGTTAGGCTACCAACGAAACAAGCAAACACTACCATATTCTAATAGCCTGGCAAAATCACTTACTCCCAGCCCTTCATTTACTTTAACTTTCAAGTCTGATGATTTTATTTTAAGAAATAATTAAAAGAACTAAGCA